TCTTCCACTTCAGGAGGCAGAGGGAAGTGACACACCCTCAGCAGCACCCTGCTTTTGGAAAGGTGGATCTGGGGAGGACTGGTAGGGCCTGAAAGAGGGGAGGGGTCCCACGGGCAACCCCCCGCATTGGAGGGAAGGTCTGTCCCCCCCATATTGAGGGGACAGTCACTTAACCATCCAGCCCATTCCTGCAGCCCTTCCCATGGTTTGTCATTTTTTTCTATGCCCCCTCTTTTGTTCAGAGATGCAATTCCTTGGACTTCTGATCTGTCTGAGGAGGTACAAGGGGCAGCTGCAGAGAGGCCTCCTTCTGCGCCTTGGGGCCTCGGGGCTGTGAAGAGGCTGGGGGAGCAGAAATCAACAAGTAAGGTCCTGAACCTCAAGTGGGGGTTGCCCAGGGACCCCAGCCAACCCCGGGGAAGGGGGCGGCTAAGGAGGCAGTGAACCATCTGTTTTTGCCAGGAAGCTCTTTCTTCTAGCGTTATTTCAAGTCTTCTCGAACTTTCAGTCTTTTTTTCCTTTTCTTTTTAGAGAAATGCGCCTTTCTCTCCAATTTCATTCCAGTGCTGCAGCCCAGGCGCGAAGCCTCAGGGCCGCCAGTGTGGGAGCGCCATCTGCTGGCTGACTTTTAGGGCGACATTAGACCTGAGCTCCGACATTTTTATTAACTTAAGCGCTATAAAAATCACCAGTAAGCCAATGGAAAATGTTCATACTCACCAGGAATAAATAAATGAACATTAAATCATGCCTCCCACTTTTCAGCTATCACATTGGGAAGCAGTTTAAAAATACTAGCATCCTGCCTCAAGGAAGGCTCTCTTACACTCAGCTGGTGCAGGAATGACTTAGTGCAGCCTTTCTGGAGAGGAAGAAAGTAAGTCGTGTTATAGAATTCATGGTCGTGTTTATGATTCAGAACTCGCTGTCAGAAATTGCACTCAGAGTGCACAGGTTATAACAAGACTTTTGCTGTAGTATCCTGCAATCAGGAAACTTTGCAACAAGATGGTTAAAACAGCGATGCCACACACATCAGAATACAATGAAACTATTAGAAACTCTGGAAGAATATGATCCGTTCCAGGGGGGTGCCCTGTCATAGGTATAAAGTGATTCTATTCTAAACATACTTTAGTTTTATCCTACTGGGTGTGATACCCTATGTGGCTAACTTTGCCTCGACCCATAGAACACGCAACACCCAGGATGAACCCCGATGGCATGTATGGGCTGATGATGTGTCAGTGGAGGTTCATCTGAAGTGCACATTTGGGGGGAAATCCCTGTGTCTTCCGCTCAATTTTCCTACGAACCTTAATCTCTCTTAAAATGTAGAGTCTATTAAGTTTAAAAAGCAGATTGTTGGCCCTCCCTGGTGGCGCAGCGGGTTAAAGCACAGCACTGAGAATCTGAGGCCACTTCCGCATGAGTTCGATTCCCGCCTGCCGCCTGCCCCGGAGGAGACCACATGGCGAGCCAGACCTCTCCTGGCCCGCCCGCTGCTCCCCTCAGCAGTGTACTTCGTTGATCTGCCTGTTCTGCTCCCCACTCTGTCTCTGGTGAAGCCTCTCACCGCCCCTGAGCCTCTGGCCTGTACCCCAGTTCTGTGTGAATAAATAAATAAATCTTAAAAAAAAAAAAAAAAAGCAGATTGTCAACATTATGTTAAGAACTATTTCTGTTGCTGCATGATGGGCCTCCCAGGGAGGTCATCTTTGTGCTTCTAACATGAGCCACAGGTGAAGGCTTCACAAAAACCCTTTTGGGGAGTCCTCTGGGGTTGCCCAGGACCTGAGCTGATACTGTCACAGCCATCTTGTCACCACAGGGAGAGAAAAGACAGAGCAGGAGAAGGTAGAAGGAAGAGAAAGTGAAAGTGGAGAAGAGAGACCGGAAGACAAGGTTTGAGCCTCTGGCTCCGGTGTGGTTTAAACTGGGCTGTTCCCTCAGAGAATCATCTCCTCCTTTGTCAAATGAACCCAGCTTTCTGTCCCTTGGGATGAGAAAGCCCATCAGGCCTAAATGCAAGCTCCCCAATTTCTTCATTTTGCACGAATCATTTAGTGGAGATGGGAACGGCCCCTGGGGCCCTTCCTCCCAGTGGGCACAGCCAGGTTGCCACTCCGGGAAGAGATCTGGGTCTGCCCCTTTTCTGAGTCCCAGGCATGCAGGGGGTTCATGCCTCAGGGTTGTGCACCTGTCTTTCCTTAGACTAAATTATGCCTCCCTGATCCCTCCCACACACTGTGGAGGCTGCCTCCTTGGCTTCCACAAATGCCTCCTCCAAGAAGCCTTCCCTGATCATCTGTTGGGGAGACCCTTCTATCCCTGGTTCGCTTTTGCTCTGTGAGCTCCTCAGACATGGTGAAGCCGGGGAGGGGAGGGGCCTGGTCAGACTGGCCAGGCTCTGGTGATTTTCCTCGGAGCAACTTGAGAGTCAACACAGAGCTTCTCAAACTCTAACCAGTTGGTATCACCTGGATACCAGGGAGAATGGGGACATAGATACCACTGGAGAGGAGGGACTCTTAAGAAAGTGCAGCTGGGATTCTGACTCCTGAAATGCAGAGCCCCGAGGCCTGGGGTAAGGCCTAGAATTCTACCTTTCTGACAGGCGTCGGGGATGCTGCTGTGCTGGCTGTGGGCCTAGCCTGAGCACCGAGGGCAGGCACTATCCTCTCTCCTGTGGGCTCAGCTTCTGAGACACCAGGAGAGGAGGGTCCAGTTCCAGCTGCCACTGCCCCAAAGTTCCCTGGAAACAGCAATATTGGTGGGATGGGAGGGGGCAAGGCAAGCCGGGAAATGAGGTACTGAGTGGGGTCATCGTGGGCCTCAAGGCAAATTCGCTGGAGAAGGGGGGCTCAGGGATTGAAGGCCTTGTTCTAGGAACCCAAGAAATGAGTAGCTCTCTGACTTGGGTAGCAAATGGGAGTGGCTGGGAAGAGATGACCATCATGGGTCATCCAGGGCACCAGGCGTGGGCAGTGGATGACGACACGGTGTGCATCTCCAGAAGAGACACCCTGGACCCAGAGGCCCAGGGCATCAAACCGGGAGGGCAGCAGTGAGTGTCCCCAGCAAAGGAGTCCTGTGGCTGTCCCTTCTCTGGAACTGAGTCCATTCCCCTTGCATGAGCTGGGCAGCCAGGACAGCTTTGGGATGTTAGTCGGGACCCCCTCCACGTGCCTGCATAGATCACTTCCACTCCATCTAGGCTTTTCTTTGCCCCCTCTAGTCATCACACACTTCCCCCATCTGTGTGATTTGGAGATGCACAGTCCCCACATGGAGCCTCTGTGTGCTCTGTGGCGTCTCCCACCGTCTAGTAGCCGAGACAACCTGCACCTGCAGCCCTGGGTGCTGCCTGAAACAGCACATCTGAGGCTACTTGGACATGACTCTCTGCTGGAGCTCTCTTGGACCATGCCATTGTGTATTTGGACCCCAAATCCAGGTGGGTCCCAGACTGCCCCTCAAATTCTAGGAGGCGACTCCCGACCCCTCACCCAGTACCAGATTTCATTCATGGAAGGCTCCCGCTTTCCTGGGCAGGACTGTTCCACCATGTGACCCCCAGATTAGGAGACTAACTGCACTCACAGTCTTTGTTCTGTGTGTCAGAATTTCCTATTACTATGTTGGGACATTTTTCTTTCTTAGTGATTACTTGGTACAGATCAGAGTCTACAGCACTTAACATTGTCTGAAACAACTCGTAAAGTCAGTATGATCTTCACAGAAATAGACTCACAGCCCTTTTATTTTTCCATTTAACACCTAGGCTTTCTGTGTGCCCAGATTTCCAAGGAGCCCATCATCTCCCCCTTGAAGTGTCCTTCTGGAGCAAATGGAGACACTCGAAGCCTTTCTTTGTCCCGAGGCGTCAGTCATGGTAACCCCTGGACAGAGCCTGGGCCGCCACAAATGCGGCCACACGGCGCTGGGGCCATTTGCGGGTGCCCCTCCCACCTCCGTCATGGCGTTGGCGAGTCTACACAGAATAATGTTCCTCATAGCAACGTTTCCAAACTCCAGTCTCTTTAGCCCATCCTTCTGGGCTCATTCGGATGTTTTGGGATGTCCAGCCTCCATCACGTTTGGGGCCAGAGCCAGCCAGAACCCTCAGCTCTGGGCCCTGTGTTGAGCTCAGATGGGTGCAGACTCCCCTTCATCCTGGGCCCTTGGTGTTCCTTCCTGACAGCAGACTTCTGTCAAGGGTGTCCCAATAGCCAGACCGTTCCCAAGAACATTGTCCCTCAAATGGGGAAGTTGTGAGCACTTGCCCTTCCACCTAGAGGCTGGGTGTCTTCTCCCACCTCCTTTAAGGGCTGTGCCTATACAACAGCGGAGGCCACTCAAGGGACAGGGCCTTATAGATACATGCCCACCCCTGCGCTGTGAGTTGTATCATCCTAACCAGGGAAATGCTGGCAGCTTCTCCTGCTAGAGATGCTTGTGTCACGGACTCTGACCGCAGGATTGCTGCTAGCCCAGCCTGTACCCACCCCTAAAGCGTCACACATACCATGGGGGGGGGGAGTGGGGGCGAAGGCTGCTCGTGAGTTGAGCAGGTGAGCTTCTGTTTTATTGAGCTGGGTCTTTACGCTGACAGGAAAGAGTCGAAATACTTAGGACCTGGGCGCCAGTGTTTGCAAGCGACACTGAGGTGGAGGAGCAGAGAGAGAAGAGCTGAGTTCTCAGCCCTGTGATGGGCCATCTTTGTCTGGTGTGCAATGCGGACCTTTCCTCCAGCTGCCGCCAGGGACGTGGGCATTGTTCCCCGCGGTTCCTGCAGCTGGGTTTGTGGCTTTGAGCTGAAACCCTCTGGCGTCAAGGGGACACGAGCCGAAGCTTCCAAGGGCTCAGGGAGCCAGATGGGGAGTGAGGACGGCAAGGTCGTGTCCAAAGTCACCCAGCAGGTCAGAGCAGAAAGTGCTCCTCCCCCTGAAAATGGCGGCGAGAGTGACCCCGAGTGCCCAGTGGCTGGGCGCGCAGCCTCAGTACAGGTATTCCCGTACGGTGAGTTCCTTCAGGGTGAAGGCCCGCGGGCTGGGCCTGCGGAGCTGGCTCTCCTCCAGCCGCTCCTGCAGGGATACAAAGTCCTTGCCCAGCGCGTAGGCCAGGCGGACCATGGCCTCCAGCAGGGGCGCGTAGTAGCGGTGGCCCTCCCGGGCCTGCAGGTGCTGCAGCGCCCTCTCCCCAGCCGCAAAGGCCTCGCGCGGGCGCTCGAGGTCGCGGTGGCACACCAGCATGGCACAGAGCGCTGGCACCCGCGTGGTGGGGCAGTGCGGGGTCAGTTTCTCCTGCAGCGGCACCACGTGCACCAGGATGCCCAGGGCCTCCACGTAGCGGCCTGCGCGCAGGCACCCGAAGGCCTCGCGCAGCTCGGGCCGCGTGAGGAAGTCGATGAACTCGCGCGAGCGGCGCACGCAGCGGATGGGGTAGAGCAGGCTGAGGTACTCCTGGAAGGCCAGCCTGCGCTCGCGCATCATCTCCTCCGAGAAGTTCCCCAGCAGGCGCTTCTTGGGGAAGGAGATGTCTTCGATCTCTTCCCTGAACGCCTTGAGGAGGTTTTTCTGGAGCTTCTCGAAGTCTGAGTAGCGCCGTTCCAGGACGGCTTTGTTGCTGTCAAAACTCCCCGTCTGGACGACTACGATCTGGTACATCTGCGGCGGGGAGAGAGAGCGCGCCTTGGACTACTTCCTAACCGAGGGGTCCGGCTGTCAGGGGAGCCGGCAAGTAAAAATAATGATCCTGACTTAACGCATTCTCCGAAAATGGGGGATCATTAGATGCAGTTCAGTTTTAAATCGCCTTGGGCCCAGGCTGAGCTACAGAGGCGAATCCTGACAAGTGCGAACCTGAGAGTAACAATCCCAGTGACAAGAGGGTGCCCGGGGGAGGAAGGGGCCTGGCAGGGGAGCTGGCCGCTCCCCGAGTCTCGGATGAACTGTGTTTTGCAGTGTGGGGCACGTGGGAGACGCTTTGCGGGGTTTACTGGCAGGGATGTTACAATAAGAAAAGTATTGTTTTCAATTCGCTTTTGAGCAAATACTACTGCAGGCCACAGGCTGCCTGGGTTGTATTTCCGCCCCCCCCCCCATTCTAGCTGTGTGGTCTTGGGTAGATCATTCAACCTCTCTGAGCTTCCCTTTCCCCATCCCTGAAAACCAGCCCCGGGACAGCAGCTGTCTCGGCCACCGCAGCGGGTCTGCGGTGGAGCTGCTTGGCCATGACCCCATCCCAGCCGAGGGGGGGCAGGGCTGAGCCTGGCTCTCCAGAGTCCTCCCCGCTCCTGCGGGCAACCCTGCGCTCAGAGCTCTCCCAACGCGGCATAGCCCAGCACTCCCTGACTGGCCCAGCTTTCCTTGTGTCTGGAATGACTTGTCTCTATGCCTGGCGATCCTGGTTTGCCATTTAACCATCCCCCTCCAGAGGAACTACGCTAAGTGTCTTTACAAAATGATTCAATTGAAAACAAAAAGTGATTCAATTGAAAGAAAAAAGTTAGGTTAATGGTAACATAAATGGTAGAGGGACATGGCCGAAATGGCGAAGGAAGGTCACTGGGGCCACCTGCCGGACAGTGGGGGCAGGCGGGGCTTCTCCTCAGGGCGGGGGCTGCGGCAGGCACTTGGCACCTCCTCACGGCCCGGCCGTGGCTGGAAGTCTGACTTTCTGGCTGCTTTCACCCATGTTCCGCTCTGTGTGACCACCCATGTCACTCTTGGGGCGACTGAGGGTCTGCCAGGCGCGTGGGCGCTGAGGAGGTGTGAAAGGGCCTTCTTCACCTCCTGACCTCAGCTTACCACGAACTTGGAGACTTTCCTCTCCTCGATGCGGGCCGAGGCGACCTCGAACAGCAGCTTGACGGGCTTCCAGCCGCACTTCTCCCGCCGCCAGTGCTCTTGCAGCTCCCGCGTGGTCATGCAGGAGTTGGAGCTGGGGGTGCCTGGAGGACAGGCCCCGTAAGGACGGGCCAGGCAGTGCGGTTTGGGGGTGATGCCCCTCCCCCGCCCTCTCACTTAGAGTCCAGTTGGCATCACTGATCTCCCATGAACAAGTGGCTGAGTCCATCCTACCACGATGGCCCAAAGCAGCCCTCCCCAGGTGGTTGCCTGGCGGGGAAAGTCCACTCTGGCCTGCAGACTGGCCACTGACAGACGCCTGGCAGGCAGGGCTGGCCTGGGCGTGGTCACACAGCCTGCGGGCTGACTCCATGCTCGGCTGGGCCGAGCCACGCAGCCCAGTGGACGCTCAGCCTGGCGGGGCCTCCTCCAACCCTCGCATCGCATCTCCACCTTCCAAGCTTTTCTTGCAGCTGCAGCCTCCTCCCGCCCCACCCAAACATGAGCAGCGTTTCTTCATCTCGCGGGAGCCCTGGGCCATGCTGAGGGCCCTGGGAAAGACTAGGTGCTCACCGCCACTCCCAGATCAAGGTACATTTTATTTCAAAGGAACAGTTGTCCAACATGTCCTTCAAGACCCAGCCTCCATGTCCCTTCAGCTGCCCCTTGGCATGGCAGCAAGAGCCGCCTACTCTGACCCGAAAGCTATTTTCATGGTATCTCAGATTGTTTCTCACAGATCCGTTTCTCTACCAAATCCGAGCGCCAGCTCCGCGTCTGCTTTGACCCTGTCTCCCCAGGACCCTGCAGAGAGCTGGGCAGAGCTGGCTTGAGGTCTGGGCGGAGGTTTGCGCCAGGAGATGGCACTCTCGCAGCCGCCGTCAGTGCGCCCAGCCCTGTGCACTTGCAATTCTGCAAGATTCCACCGGTTTCTAAAGGAAGCCCCGTCTCTGACTCTTGCCCTAAGGGTTTTCAGCTGTAGTTGCAGGTTCTGCAGCACCCCACAGCCCATGCGGGTTGATGTGTGGGTAACAGCCCAGCCTTTCTTTGGGAACAGACAACGCGAGGCCTTGGGGACCCCCCTCGGGACTGGGACCCAGTTGCCCACAGAGTAATCTGTTCTTCGTCAGCTTTCCTTCCCTGCTTTCCCACTTCCCTGCCACTTCCCTCCCGTGACCACCTCCCCGAGGAATGACTTGCACCCAGTCCTTGCCTCGGTGTCTCCTTTATGATGCCCCGAATTGAGAGAGCTGTCCTGCCCTCTCATGCCACCCACGGAAGTGTGTACATTAGCATTTCAAATGTCTTCTAACCTCTCTCTCTGGACCAAGCCCAGCCCCAAGCCCACCTAAGTGTCCTTCAGATCCTGGAAGTGGGGGGTCTGGGCCAATGGCTGATGCCTCCTGCTTGGTCCCTGCCGGGTGCTGGTCTAGGGGTCCCATCCATCCAGGGTTTCCAGGGTGCTTAGGACTCGCCATGCTCCAAGGCTGCAGGGGGACAAGGGGGACATCAGTGAGTGCGCAATCTTTTGGGGGTTCCTGGCAGGTTCTGGGGTACCTAGCATCCATATCACAGCCTCTGCTGCTATGCCCTCCGCTGCCCACCTAGCTGTCTGCCCAGCTGCCAGCTGCTTGGCGTGGGACTGCTTCTCTACTGGCCCGACCCCTCCAAAGCCCAGCAGATGCGTCTCTTTTTGGTACAAGCCTGATGTGTCCATGTTGCTCTGAATTTGTCCTGAATTTTCAGGACAAATGGAATGGTTTAGTGACCCCGGGAAGAGAGACGTTGGCTTGTCCAGAAAAGTGTCCCATACGCTATTTCGTCCCACATGCGTGCTTCGCTCCGTGTGAGCGGAGTGTAGACACAGGGAATGAGCTCAGAGCAGGCGTATCCGTGCCTCTCCCATGCTGTCCCTGTCTTGAAGCAGACGCTGCTGGTGACTGGGGCCCTCAGGTATCTCTCGGTTCCGCACATTCACTGCCTTGTTTAGCACCCCCAGATCTATCGTGATTCACAATCACAGATGAGGAAACTGAGGTTTGGCCCAAGGTCACATGACCGTGCCTGACTCAAGAGCCGCGCTTTCGCTTCACCTCACCCCGGTGTCACAGGGGCTTTTATCTCCTTTTGAGGCTAAGGGAACTGGCACTTGGGGTTGCCCACCATGAGGAGCTGGGACGTGGCGGGCAGGGCACAGGGCAGGTGGGTCCTGCCCACTGGCCTCGGGGTGTGGAGCCAGCAGGCAGCTGGGGCCTGGAGCTCAGTGACTGTCTGTGGCCCAGGGGAGTGCGATGAGCTGGTGCCTGGCAAGGAACTGAGCTTCTCTGTCCCCAGTTTCCTCCAAGGCAGATCCATCTTCTCGAGGACAGTGTGAGGGTCGCGTGGGGTAGATCAGGCAGAGCCCCGCCTTGGGGACCCTGTGCAGGCCCCTGACACAGCCCTGTTGCTGACACCTGACTCGTGATGGATGCTTGGGAAATGTCTGAAAAATAAATGGCGCCGGGCGAAGGGATCCATTGGAATAGAGTTAAAAATGTCTGCAAAGGTCCTCCCTGGTGGCACAGCAGGTTAGAACACCGCATTATGAAGCTCTCCGAAGCCAGTGCAGATGAGTTCAATCCCTGTCCAGGGAGTTGACCCACATGGCACGGCAGACCTCTTCTGACCCGTCCACTGCTCCCCTCAGCAGTGTTGATCTGCCTGTTCTGCTCCCTACTCTGTCTCTGGTGAATCCTCTCACCCACCACACCTCTGGCCTGTACTCCAATTCCATAAGCATAAATAAACAAATCTTTAAAAAGAAGTCTGCAACAAATTAGTAACAAGAAAAGCCAAACACAAGTTCAGATGGAGTGGGGAACTGGGGCATCACTTACACACAAAAATTCAAAAGAAGAAGTGTACACTGAGCTCCTGTTCTCCTTCACAGGACCTGAGGGAGGACAGGGAGCAACGGGGTGGAGCTGAGGTCTCTCAGATGGACACCACACCTGCAGTCTGAGCCTCTTTCCTGACTGGAGTGCCGGGGGGGTCCCCTGCTGCTTGAAGAGCCCCACTTGGCCCCTGGGTGATGCCCAGGGCGACCCCTGCTCCAAGAGTGTGGGCCTCCTGGATCTACCTGCTGGAGACAGGTCGGGGAGGGGGAGCAGGACCCCGTCCTGGGGGGCTGCTCAGGTGAAGGTACCATGTGCGCTGCCCTGGAGGCCCTCAGAAACTCTCATCAACTTCAGCTCCCACAGATGGGAAACTGAGGCACAGAGCCAGGGCCTGGCTGCACTGTAGCCTTCATATCTCATTTATCTTGTCTCTCCTTAAGGAGTCGGGCCTTTCTCCTGGCCAGTTGTGGGCAACATTTGTTCTCCCCAGACCCCGTCTCCCATCCCTTTTGTCCTGCAGACAAAAAGATGGATGGCCAGACTGGCTTCTCTTTGCCCTGGAGGGTGCCCAGGCCAGAGAAAATGTGGTTCCCACATTCTTTTCTAAGGGTGTCCGGGTTCATGCCCTTCTCAGTTCTGGTAATGACAAAGGGCCCCGGCCTCCTGCCCCAGTCTTCAGCTCTGCCGTTCTGCGAGGTGCCTGGTGCCAGGTCAGAAGTAGGCCCCTGTTTGTCCAGAGACCCTGAGACTCAGGAATGACCTTGGCTGGACATTCCAGTAAAGGCCTGAGAAAGCTGAGCATGAACCCAGGGCTTAGAAGAAAAGCACAGATTTTTCATTTGCACGTAAACCAGTTCCCATTTTCGTTGATGGGAGCGACTGGAAGTCACCCACTAGGGAGCAGAGGGAGGGGAGATGCATCTGGTGCCCCCGTGAGTTTGCATCCTGCTCTGGCTCAGTGTCCTTAACTGCGGAGTGGGGAAGCTAACCTGTCGCAAGTTCCTTGTGGGGCCTGCCCGCCTTCTCCCTCTGCCGAGTAGCGAGCTTTCTGGGCTTTACAGCAAAAGGCTGCAAGGGTTGGTGCCCTGGCTTAGGTGAGACTCCAGCAGAGCAGGGTAGGCCACCTCCCCCCCCGCCCCCGAGACAGAACATCCTGGAGACAGAACATCCTGGATGGTGGATGGGCAGACTCCCACATATGAGGGAGCCTCAGATTTCCCGGGGTGCAGGTGCTGGGAGTCTTGTGAAACAGATTTCCCACACCAGAGTCCCATGTGGTGGGTTTGTGGGGGGGTCCCCAGATTCTGTCTTGTATACAAGTCCCCCAACTATAGGTTGACACTGGGGCTTCCCTGGCACCATTTTTTGAGAAACAAGAGTGATGAGTTTGTCCTTGAGAAGGGGTGTGGAAGCATCTGGCATTTCACATGAAGTTGAGGTGATGGAGGGTCAGGACGCTGCTCTGTCCTCATACTAAGGAGAGCCCCGCACCTAGTTTGTCACCAGCCGTCTCAGGCCTGCCCTGCCCCCAACAGGAAAAGGAACAGGAGGGTGACAAGAGGAGGCTCGGACACAGGTGGGCAGTGGCCCACCGCGCTTGGGATCAAACACTGACCTGAGGGCTCTGGGCCTGTGTGTGTCCGGGGTCCCCAAGGAGTGTCGCCTGCCTCCTTCAGCGCTCTGTTCCTTCATTCAGAGTTGCCATCAGAGAAACTGAAATTCAGAGGCAGGGACGGCAGCTTCCCCAGGCAGGTTCCCGTTTGAAAACAGGAAATGATCTGTGTGACTGGGTCCTGGTCGCCTCCACCCATTGGCTGGTGAAGGGTGGTCCACCGAGTCCCAGTCATCACAGGCAGCCCCAGCCTACCCTGCAGAAGGATTTTGTCCAGACTGACCTCGGCCTGGACAACCTCTGGCACCCAGATGTCAGCTCCTTCTCGTTCGTTATCGTACACGATGAGTGAGTTTCGATGGTGATGTTTACAGCCCGTTAACAGCTGGGGTGCTGGGTTCAGAGCACAGCATTGGGGAACTTCAGATGGGGGCCCAACATGGAATGGCGGTAAGGCCCCAATTCCATCTGGGGGTTTTCTCCAGAGGAAGTGGCTGCCTCCAACACACCACAGAGTGTACCAAGAACATCAAACCTCTGGGCAGTGATGGGGTTCACTGGGCCGAGACAAAAACAGAACCTCTTCCCATCCCCGACTCCCTCCCACTCCCTAGAGATAGTGGCAGTAGTGCTGCTTCTGTTGGGGCCGGGGTGGGGGCTTCCTGGCGTTTCTTTGTAATTTCACTGCTTAGGAATACAGTCTGAAACAATAGAGCTTCATTTTTATTCATTTTTGAATTTTATGTGGCTGGAGCACATGTTCTATCTGTGTGCATGGGGTCTTGCTGGTTTTATTCAACATTTTTGGTTTTTAAAGATTTATTTATGTATGCATACAGAACTGGGGTACAGGCCAGAGGTGCAGGGGCAGTGAGAGGAATCACCAGAGACAGAGTGGGGAGCACAACAGGTGGAGCCACTGAAATCCACTGCTGAGGGGAGCAGTGGGCGGGCCAGGAGAGGTCTGCTGCACCGTGTGGGTCACCTCCGGGGTGGGGACTGGACTCATGCTGCAGTGGCTTTAGCTTCTTAGTTGCTGTGCTTCAACCTGTTGTGCCACCATGGAGGGCCTGTATTTGAGATTTTTGTGAATAACAGTCATCAATGTTTTGCTGTGACGCTGGATTTTAAAAATCTATATTGATATGTTGTTATGTTACTTGAATCTCTCAATACCTGTATACATCTGTAATGTTATTCCCCCCGCCCCCTCCCCCCGTTTTAGCCTGGGACCCTCACGCCAGCCACGACCCCCGGTACCGAGGCTGAGTGAGGTCCCCCAAGGCCAGATGCCCCCGCCTGCAATGTAGGAAGCAGGCCCACCCCCAGCTCCCAAAACGGTGTCTCAGGATAACTGCAGGGGCCCCCACATCACTCTGCCTGTGGCCTAGCTTTAAAATCCTGAAGCACTGAGACCCTGGAGATGCCTGGGAGGCCTAGGCGTGCACAGCAGCTGCGGCAGAGCAAGAATGACATGATCAGAGTGTGATCTCCTTCAGACATCTCGTCACTTGCTTTTCCATGCTGATCAGTTCCTGTGGAATTTCTCAAAGTGGGGTGGATCGGTCCCGGAGGCCCGAGTGTGCCAGGCACCAAGTGTCACAGCGAGGGGTCTGCGGTGCTTAGTTTGGTGAGTGGCTGCCGTGTGCTCGGGCATCCTAACCGGCCCTCACGTTGCATCAGGGAGACCCAACGCAGAGTGGCGGTGACATGCTGGGACACACAGCGAGTCAGGGCTGAGCAGGGGTCACAGTTTGTCACCACTTCTGTGCACACCCCTACCCACCCACTCACTCACTCATCCACACACGGCATCCTCTCTGTGGTGGGTCCCTTCCATCAGGGTGCCTGAGGCTGACACTAACAAGGAAACAGCGACAGACCCTGACGGAGGTGTCATGGCTGCACAGGAGAGGGCCAGGAGCCTGCCAGACAAAGGTCACCAGGCCTGGTTGAGGAGCGGAAAGCGGTGCCCACAGCTGGCATGGTG